CTTGTTTTTTAACTCCAGTCTACCCTTGGTTAATATTTGCGTCATTTTTAACTTTGGATATTATAAATAAAAATGCTACGAGTATTATAATACATGGTTACTGGTATACCTGACCATGATGTTCTCTAGGCTATCTACCTGAGGATAAAACTGCTGGATCAGAAGATATGTATAGCTTCACTCTTGACTCTATACATAGTAGATACTTCTTTTAATTTAAAAAATGTTTAATGCAGTTCAAACAGTGTCTGGTTCATTTTAGCTCCTTTACCACCAAAGCTTCTCCGCCTTCTCTTTGTCTGTGATGACCAAGTTGTAAAGGGATCTGCTTCATCGAACTTTAAACTTCACATTATCCTTATTTTTCTTCATCTTGCCGGATTTGGCATCCTTTCACCAGGCCGTTAGCGGGCTGTTATCCAATTGAGGAATTTCCTCAATTTTCCAAGGCTTACATTTACTAGGTGATGCCAAAATGTGTTACAGAATGGTTGAGCAGTGTACACTCACTTCAGCAGTGTAGGAGAATCCAGTTGTTCCACATCCTTGTCCACATATAAGATTTTCAGACTTTCTAATTTTTGCTAATTTAGTGGGTATAAATTTGTCTTTGGAATTCTATTTGCATTTCCATGATTACTAATGAAATTGAACTCGCCCATGTATTTATTGGTCATTTGGAATAGTACTTTGTTAGATACCTATTCAAGTCTTTGACTTATTTTTCTGTTGGATAGTAATCTTTTTTATTGACTAGATAGGTTTTTTTATGTATTATAGACACAAATTCTTTCTTAGTTATTTGTGTTTCAAATATTTTGTCCCTCTCTATTGCTTGACTTCTCACTTTTTTTTTAAATTGTGTATTTCATTTTATTTATCATTATTATTATTTTTTAATTTGCTACGGGGCACATGTGCTCACCAGAGAGACAGAGAGAGAGACACACAGAGAGAGAGAGAGGGAGGGAGAGAGGGAAAGTGAGAAAGCAACCCACCAGGTCCGGGACTTGAACTGCAGTTGGCCGTGTGCGAGTCTAGCACCCTTAATAATAATCATGTCACCTGCTATCCCCTACTCTTATTTTTAATTGCCAGAGCACATGTGCACTTGTCAGAAATGGAGAGAGAGAGAGAGAGAAAGAGAGAAAGCACCCCATAATGGGGTATGATCATGCCACAATTCCTTCTTCACTTCTCTATTCTGTTCAGATTTTCATCATGCATGTACATGCCTGGGTACGTTTTTCAAGCCTCCAGGCCATATAAGATCTGGCTTCCTTAACTACTAGGGAAAGTGGGAAAGCAAATCACCAGGTCCAGGACTTGAACCCTGGTCAGCCACAGGAGAGTCCAGCACCCTTAACAACCACACTACCAACTGGCCCCAAGAGTTCTTAATTTTTTCTAAAAAAAGAATTATTTATTTAATTTTAAGTATTATTATTAATGTGACCAGAGAGAGACAGAGAGAGAGAGGGACTTAAACTGCAGTTGGCCATGTGGGAGTCCAGCACCTTAAACACTGTACCACCTACTGGTCCCAAAAGTTCTTTATTTTATTTTTGTTTTGTTTATCTTTGGAGAGTTTTTTTTTTTGTTATAGGGTGCATGCGCTCACCAGAAAGAGAGAGACAGAGAGACAGAAAGCAAGAAATCCCCACCCCCCCGGGAGGTTGGCCACGCCATGATCCCTTCTACTCCATTCTCCTCTTGGGATCTTGGGCACGCAGGCACATGTGTCCGGTGTGAGTTTAAGCCATGGGTCCAGGCCTCTAATTGCGGTCGGCTACATGAGAGTCCAGCGACATAGCCATTACACCAACTGCTGGTCCCAAAAGTTCTTAATTTTAATGTAGTGGAATTTGTCATTCTTTTCCTTTTTGTTGGATATTTTTTGTAACCTGTTAAAAAATATCCATCCTTGTCTTGAATTTGTGAATATAGTCTACTGAGTTGTCGGGAGTGTCATGACGAATTTTTGCATAGAAAAACATAGAAGAAAATATGTCATAACTTTTCCAGCAACCCAATGTATTAGTATTTTATAAAAACTTTTTTCAGAATATTTAATTTCATTTTATTTATTATTATTATTATTATTATTTTAATTTGATCAGAGAGGGAAAGTGAGAAAACAAGCTGCCAGTTCCAGGACTCAGACCATGGCCAGCCATGTGGAAGTCCAGTGTCTCAACTACCACACCACCTGCTGGTCCCCCAAAAATACTTTAAAATTTTGCTTCTCACATTTATATTTTTATTCCACCTAAAGTTGATTTCCGTTATGATGTATGAATAGGGGATCCAGTTTTTTTCTAGTTGTCTTGGCAAGAGTAATTGTAAAGCCTATTTTCTCCCCACTGATCTAAAGGGCTTCTTCTATCAAATATGATTTCCATTTTATATGGGTATGTTTATGGACTTCCTTCTGTTCACCTATATTTTAGCCCCCTGTGTTTATAACACATTGTCTTAATTATAATTGTTTTATAATACATCTTGTGGCCTAGTGGAGAAAATATTCTCCTTACTTTCTCCTTTTTCTTTTCTTTTTTTTTTTTTTTTTTTTAAAGTTTTTGCCAGAGGGCATGTGTGCTCACTGGAGAGAGACAGTGAGAAAGCAAGTGAGAAATCATTCCCTAGTGGGAATGGCATGCTGCAATCCCTTCTTCGTTCTTCTCCTGGGATTTTAGGCATGTATGCACACACACTCAGTGTGATTTTTAAGCGTCTAGATTCAGGATCTGAACCACAATCGACCATGTGGGAGTCCAGTACCTTACCTACCACACCACCTGCTGGCCCATCTCCTTTTTCTTAAGACAGTCATGACTATTCATGGTCTTATGTCTTTCTGATTAGCTTGACAAATCTCATCTCCCAAATGTGTTGGGATTTTCATTGGGATTATGTTGAATCTACCAATCACTTTGGGAGAGAATCAACATGTTTATATATTTAGCTTTCTCATATTTTTCAAGGTTTTTATATGTTTTATCAATTCTGTTTCATAAAGATAGAATCTCTCTCCATTGATACAGATTTTGTTTATGTTTCTTTATAAAGTTTATTTTGAGAGAGAGAGATTTGCTATAGGGTGCATGCCCTTGCTGGACAGACAGAGAGAGAAAACGAGAAATCATCCCCTGGGGAGATGGCCATGTCCCAATCCCTTCTCCTCCATTTTCTTCCTGAGATTTTGGGCATGCATGCATATGTGCCTGACATGAGTTTCAGGCATCTAGGTCCAGACTCGAACCACAGTTGGCTATGTGAGAGTCCAGTACCTTAACCACTAAGCCACTGCTGGCCCCTCTTCATAAAGTATTAAACTATTCTTATACATCTTCTATATTTGTTACTAGATACATTTTATGTTTTCATTTTTGTTTATGCCATAAGGTTTATGTGTACATGTACATTTATACACGAGAGATCAACCCTCTGGTCATGCTGCAATACTTTTTCCTTCAGTTCTCTATCCTGACAGGATTCTGGCTACATATACATGCACCTAACCTGAAAATAATGGGTCAGAACTCAAACTCTAGTCTCAGCATTATAACATATTACTTTACCACTATACCATCATAGCTGGTCTCTTGCCCAATTTTTTTTTTTTTTTTTGCTAGAAAGTACATGCAATCTACAGAGGAGAAAGCGCCTCTCCCTGCCTACCCTTCCCATGGGAAGTAGTCATGCTGCAATTGCTTCTCGTCCATCTCTCCCTCCTTCCATGATTTTGGGTATTCATGCACATGTGCTTGGCATGTTTTTAAGCCACTAGGTCCTGGATTCAAACTGTGTAGTTTTCCATATGGGATCCAGCTCCCTTAACCGCTAGCCCATGGAACTAGCCCACATTTTAATCAGTTTGATTGTTATTTTATTTTTGAGTTTTGTGACTTCCCTAAATATTTTGGATTTATAAAGTACTTGTTGGGGCTAGCACATGGCATAGTAGTTAAGGCTCTAGACTCCCACATGGCCAATTGCGGTTCAAGTCTTGGGCCTGGAGGCTTGAAAATCACACCAGGCACATGTGTCTGTATGCTTAAAACCTCGAGAGAAGAATAGAGGAGAAGGGATTGTAGCATGGCCATCCATCTTGGTGGGGGTGGGGGGGTTGTCATTTCTTACTCTCCCTCTCACTCTTCTCTCTCTCTCTGGTGAGCATATACCATTTATGACAAAAACCTTAAAATAAAAAGTATAAAGTACTTGTTTGCAAATATTTTCTCCCAACGATGGCTTGTTTTTTCATCATCTTGACAGCAACTCACACAGAAGTATTTTATTAAAGTCCAATTAAAACTTTTTTTTTTTTTTTTGCTCTTGAATTGCTGTGACTGGGCTGCTTCCTACACTGAATCATATATTTAGTGTTCTATCTAGAATCTCATGGCCTAACCCCCCAAAAAATTAAAAAGTTCAGTTGAATATATGGGTGTAGGTATATTATGGTTTCTCTACTCAGTTGAATTTATGTTTATCTATTCTTTCACCAATATCACAGTCTTGATTACTATAAACTTCTTATAAAAGGAAGTTTCATTTTTCCAGGAATATGAAAATTGCACTTGTTGACTTCCTTATCTTTTTACAGATGGGGGATCCAAGTGTCAGGTCAAGAAGCTATCTTCAAAAAGAAAAAATTATGAAACAGAGTCATCACAATGGGAACAACTTACAAGCCATAACAAAGAGTGCAAAGATCTTCAAGATGATAGGGAAGGCAGAGATCAGTGTAAAAGCCAGTTGGGAAATAAAGAGGGACTTGGCAGGCAAGTAGTAATCCCCTGTGAAGAAATTCCCACCTTTAGCCAGACTACATCTCTTACATTACAAAAGAGAACTCATTCTACTGAGAAACCCTATAAATGCAAAGCATGCAGGAAATGCTTTATCCATGGCTTCCAACTGACTGAACACCAGAAAATTCATTCCCATGACAAACGTTATAAATGTGCAGAATGTGGAAAGACCTTTATTCGGAGTTCACAACTTACTTACCACCAGAAGGTCCATGTTGCTGAGAAACCCTATGAATGCAAGGAGTGTGGAAAAGCCTTTATTTGTGCCTCACAACTTATTTATCACCAAAGAGTTCACACTGGGGAGAAACCTTATAAGTGTAAAGAGTGTGGAAAGGCCTTTATTCGTGGCTCTCATCTTACTCAACATCAACGAATTCATACTGGGGAAAGACCCTATGAATGTCGTGAATGTGGGAAGGCCTTTTGTCGTGGCTCACAGCTTACTTACCATCAGAGAGTTCATACTGCAGATAAACCCTATCAGTGTGAAGAATGTGGGAAAGCTTTTATTCGTGGCTCTCAACTTACTGAACATCAAAGAATTCACACAGGTGAGAAACCCTATGAATGTAAGAAATGCGGGAAAGCCTTTAGATATGGCTCACAACTTACTCTCCATAATAGACTTCATACCGGTGAAAAACCTTATAAGTGTAAAGATTGTGAAATGTCCTTTATTCGTGGTTCACAACTTACTGAACATCAGAGGATCCATACGGGTAGGAAACCACATGAATGTAAGCAATGTGGAAAGGCCTTTAACTATAGCTCACAGCTCATTCGACATCAGAGGATTCATACTGGTGAGAAACTCTATGATTGTCAGGAATGTGGGAGATCATTTATTCGTGGCTCACAACTTACTGAACATCAGAAAATTCATACTGGTGAAAAACCCTTTGAATGTAAGGAGTGTGGAAAAGCCTTTATACGTGGATCACATCTTACTCAGCATCAAAGGATTCATACTGGTGAAAAACCCTATGAATGTAAAGAGTGTGGGAAGACCTTTATTTATGGCTCACAGCTAACTCAACATCGGAGAACTCATATAAATGAGAATCCATATGAATGTAAACAGTGTGGGAAAATCTTTATTCGTGCCTCACAACTTACCCTGCATCAGATTTTTCACACTGGTAGGAAACCATTTGAATGTAAGGAATGTGGTAAGAGTTTTATTCGTTGTTCACAGCTAACTTACCATCAGAGAGTTCACACTGGTGAGAAGCCCTATGAATGTAATGAATGTGGAAAAGCTTTTATTCGTGGCTCACACCTGACACAGCATCAGAGAATTCACACTGGTGAGAAACCATACAAATGTAATGAATGTGGGAAGGCCTTTAATCGTGGCTCACAGCTTACTCAACACCAGAGAATTCATTCTGGTGAGAAACCTTATAAATGTAATAAATGTGGTAAAAACTTTAGACGTCATTCACACCTTACTCAACATCAGAAACTTCATAATGGAGAAAAACTGTATGAAAATGATAATTTAGGCAATACTCTTTCTGCCTGCCAATGACACTCAGCTATGGAATATCTAGAAATTATGATGAATGTGGGAATCCTTGTTTACTTTGGCTAACTGGTTATTTACATTCAGATAATTGACAGTGAAGAAAGGCTAGATTAATAAGTTAATATAAATGCAGTGACATCACATTTCAAACCATGTTAAAAATGAATGAATTTATACTGCTACCCAACCCTATGTTATATAGAATGTGGGAGCTACAACATTACCTTACCTAGCTAAGGTACATTCTTCTGTACAGCATTATCTGAGCCCTACCAATTACTACCTGTGTGTACCTTTATGAAAGTTATTTAACCCCTGTTTGTTTCAGTTTCCTCGTTTACAAAACTATATATAGCTCATCATAGTGTTTTGCAAAGTGAAAGTAAATACATGTAAATCTTTAGGACAATATGTAATATTTTATGCTTAACAAATAATTATTGTCAACATTATTTATATTTTGGTAAACGATTGTGGAATTCAAATGAGAGGAAAGTTTTACAAGTATAGTACTTAACTCTTTCATCATTGTTTATCTTATACTAAGCGTCAGATAAATCATTTTGGAACAAAATGTTCTAATAGAATGAATGTGAGCTCATATCTGTTCCTAGAAAGAAACCCTAAGGAAAAAAATCTTTCACTATTAAAAATAATGCTGCTTATGAACATTTGTGTATGAACACTTGTGTAATAAATTTAACTTTATTTACTTATTTTTAATTTGACCATTGGTGGACAGAGGAGAGAGAGAAAGTGAGAAAGTAAGCTGCCAGGCCTAGGGCTCGAACCACAGTCAGCCATGTGGGAGTTCAGCACCTTAACCACCAAGCCACCTGCTGGACTCTGTTAATCTAGCTTTTTTTTTTTTTAGGGGACATTCTTTATTGACATTAAACTCCTTTAACATTCTTTAAGAACTCAAGCAAATCAAGGTCTACATATATATTTTAGTTTTATGCAATGACAGGAGAAAAGGGATAATTGAAGGCAAGAATTATCTTTTACTGTTTCTCTATTGCACAACCACATCTCTTTTAATGCAAACTATTTTCAGATTTCCAATATTCCTATTCCATTGCCCTGCTATTTTACTCCTGATCACAAAATGAGATGGGTTTTCCAATTTGAGCAGGTAGCAAATCTACTGCTTCTAAACTACATAAATAGCTACACATGTGATTACTGTAATTCCTAAACTTTGATTCTGAAGCTAATACAACCTTCCATTAAATGGAACATTATTTGAAAATTACCAAAATTAAGCAATAACGAATCTCCAAGCCACCAACAATAAACAGGAAGATGACAAAGATAGAACGCACTCTGTCCCTCAACCCCCTAGGCCCTCTGCTAGTGAAATACTGGCTGTCCTCTTTAAACAGAGTAAAAAGAAACAGACTTAATTACCAGGGCAGAACAATCTCCTAGATGGGGTCTTGGAACCTGGACTTCCCCCTGGTCCTCCCTCTAGCTCGGGGTGCAATTCTTACTCGGGCTCTCTCTTCCTCATCTTGTAAAGCCTCTTCATACTGGGATGGGAAAGATCTGGGATCACTCCCATTGACCTTGGACACATACTCTAGGACTTTCATCTTGCTGGTTTCAGCGTGGGCCCTTGGACCCCACAGGAACTCGTAGCGAGCAGGATCACTACCAGGAACCTGCCTTTACTCCAGGTAATTTTCCTGTACCCACTCTTCAGTGAGGAGCTTCCTGGGCTCCCCAAAGATAAAGTGCTCCCTCCCGGTATATATCCCCATCATATTCAATGCTTCCCAGATCTCCTCCTCAGGGGTAGGATTGCCCTCCATGAAGATCACACCCAGTATGATGGCCAGGAGCCCAGTCTTAGGCATGGTCTGGTTGTCACTCAGCATCCCATCATAGGTGAGGCCTAGGATGGTGACAAGGACATAGGAGTGGCTAGTGGGGTCTACTTCCTTCACCTCAATGCCAAATATCAGCTGCAGGTATTCAGAGGCTTCATTGAAGATCACAAGGAAGTAGTCCTGGTAATCCTGGATGACACTGTTCAGCAATTCTTCCTCTGTGATTGGTTCCTTTACTTGATACTTGTGGAGCAGGAAAAGCACCAAATCAACCATCTTCTTATATAGTGCTCTTCTAAGCAAGGACACATGGCCTGCCGGATCCTGCCTGATGCGCGGCCCCTGATCTTCACTGCTGGAGCCCTCATCAGATTGGCTCCATGGAGTGTCTGCCATGGCTCTGGACTCCTGGCACTGCTTGAGCCTCCTGTGTGCTGTGAAGTGAGGATGCTGTTTCTAACCAAGGTCTCCCTCTTAACTTCTGGAGATCCTGAAGCGCAACCCTCAGGAAAAGGCCTTCCTCTCCTCAGACCACAGAGGCCCAGTCAGCGAACCCCGTCACAGCCCACCATCCAGTCCTGTTAATCTAGGTTTTAAGAGCTTGTCAATTTTTGGGACCAGCAGTTAGTGTAATGGCTATGTCACTGGACTCCCACGTGGTCCACCACGATTCAAGTCTTGGACCCGGTGGCTTAAACTCTCGCCAGGTGCGTGTGCATGCGTGCCCAGGATCCCAAGGGGCGAATGGAGAAGATATGGCAGCGTGGCCATCCCCCCGTGGGGTGATTTCTCGCTTTCTGTCTCTCTGTATTTCTCACGCTCGCACCCTATAGCAAAAACCTCTCCAAACAAAAATAAAGAGCTTGTCAATTTTGTTTCTTTAAAAAACAAAACCAAAAAAAAAAAAAAACTCTTCAGAGCAGGAGATGGCATAATGTTTAGTTGCTGGACTCCCATGTAGTTGACTGCGGTTCGAGTCCCAGACTGGGTGACGTAAAATTCACACCATGCATGTGTGTGTGAGTGGCCAAATTCCTGACAGAATGGAGGAGAAGAGATTTCAGAGTGGCCATCCCTTGGGGGTGTGATTTCTCTCTGTCTCTCCTGTGAGCACATGTGCCCTATAGCAAAGAAAATCTCTCTTAAAATAAAATAAAAAACTCTTTTTTTGGTCATCTTTTCTTTTTTTTTTTTTTAAGAGAGAGATTTTTGCTATAGGGTGTGTGTGTGTTTACCAGTGAGACAGAGAGAGAGAGAGAGACAGAAAGTAAGAAATCACCCCTCCAGAAGGGATGGTCACGCTGCAATCCCTCCTCTTTAATTCTCCTTTGGGATCTTGGGCATGCACACACACACACATCTAGCATGAGGTTCAAGCCAATAGGTCTAGGACTTGAACCACAGTCGACTATGTAGGAGTCCAGTGACTATTGCACCATCTGCTAGTCCGATCTTTTTAATTTTTTTTATTTCTTCTATAAGAGAGACAGAAAGATAGGCACCCCTCGTAAGTTCTTCATGCTGTAATTTCCCCCAGCCTCATATCCCAAAATGGTTCTCAAAGAGGTAAATTATAATCTTATCTCTAAATTTGCCTTATTGTTATTTAAAATTAATTGGCTCTATAAGTCTATACCATTGTTTCTTAAGAATTATGAAACCAAACCACATCCCACATGTTGGTATTAATAGATTTTTTTTTTTTTGGAGAGGTTTTTGCTATAGGGTGTGTGCGCTCGCCAGACAGACAGAGAGAGACAGAGAGATAGAAAGCGAGAAATCACCTCCCAGGGGGGATGGCCACGCTGCAATCCCTTCTCCTTCATTCTCCTCTCGGGATCTTGGGCACGCATGCACATGCGCCAGGCGTGAGTTTAAGCCACCGGGTCCGGAATTAATAGATATTTTTAATGTTAATTTCGTAAAATGTTTTAATTTTAATAGATCAAAATTAAAAAATGTTAAGAGAAATTTGCTTAAAACTTAAAGCCAGAAAAAAGCTTAGGATTCAGTTCAAATAGTAGGTAGATGAACCTATCAACAGTTCAAAAGACGACAAAAATCCTTAAATATGGAAATTAAAGCATCAAAGAAAATCAGGAATGTTTTAGTCTAAAGTAAAAATATCCTATTTCATTAGCTCAGACTCATGTAATTAATCTCTCCTTCTATTGATTTTGCAGTGAAACTGTAGTCTGATCTTTCTATTTAAACTCTGGAAATTAACATTCAACTCCAGACTTGTCCCTATCATTAGGCTGGCCATTCTCTTGGTTGTTTCTTTTACTCTTATTCCTATGTCCAACTTTAGTTTTCTTGGTATAGGACTCCCTTCAGCACTTTTTGGTCTGGTACTGTTAAATTCTTTCAGTTTTTGTTTATCTGTGAATATTTTTGTCTTTTTTTCCCATGTGAAAGGCAATCTTGCTGGGAATAGTATTCTTGGTTGAAAAAAAATTTTTTTTGAGAGGTTTTTGCTATAGGGCATGTGCACTCGCCAGAAAGACAGAAAGTGAGAAATCACCGCCCGGAGGATGAACATATGCCACAATACCTTCTCCTCCATTGTCTTCTCAGGATCTTGGGCACGCATGGACATGCATTTGGTGTGAATTTAAGTCACTGGGTCCAGGACTCAAACCATGGTTGACTACAGGGGAATCCAGTGAGATAGCCATTATGCCAACTGCTGGTCCTGCAAGAGAATAGAGACAACAAATTCCAGAAGATGCAGGAGAAAAGAGAAACTGAGTTCCAGGAGGTGAGGAAGTTCTTGCATGATCTGAAAGAGGAGAGCCACAATTTCCTGGTTGAAATTGTTTTTCACTTAATTCTTTGAATATATTTTCTCATTCTTTCCTTGCTTGCATTATTTCCAATGAGAGGTCTAACATTAGTCTTATGGGATATCCTTTGAATGTAACTTGACATTTATCTCTTGCCAATTTTAGTATCTTGTCTCTGTGGTTTCATTCAATCTGGCTATGACATGTCTCAGGTAAGATCTTCTTGGGTTGATTCTATATGGGGTCTTATGTATTTCTTGGGACTGGATCTTCGAATGCCTCTCTAGGTTTGGAAAGTTTTCTTGCAGAATTTCATGGAATAGATTATCAATGCCCTTACTAGTTTCTTCACTTTCCGGGATACTAATGATGGATGTTTGGGTGTTTAATGGTGTCTAGTATTACTCCTATGTTATTTGCATTTTGGGGGTTATTTCCTCAGTTTTTTTGGTAAATTTTTCTAGGTCAGAAGTTCTATCTTCTACATCTGAGATTTGATCTTCTGCATGATCTAATTTGCTTTTGATATTTTTCAATGGAAATTTTGATTTCCTATATTACGGCCTTCATCTCTAACAATTCTGTTTCTTTTTCATGATGTGGCTCTCCTCTTTCAGATCATGCAAGAACTTCTTCACCTCCTGGAACTTGGTTTCTCTTTTCTCCTGCATCTTCTGGAATTTGTTGTCTCTATTCTCTTGCAGCTTTGTTAGCTTTGTCACTAAGAATATTTTAAATTCTTTATCTGACGTTTCCTTGAGTTCCCTTGTATTTTTTATGGAGGATAAGGAGTTATTCTTTTCCATTAGAGGAGAGATATTTTTTTTGGAGAGATTTTCACTTTAGGGCGTGTGCGCTCGCCAGAGAGAGAAATAGAGACAGAAAGTGAGAAATCACCCCCTAGGGGGGATGGTCATGCCGCAGTCCCTTCTCCTCCATTCTCCTCTTGGGATCTTGGGCACACACACACACGTGCCCGGCGTGAGTTTTAAGCCACCTGGTCCAGGACGCGAACCACGGTCGACTACGTGGGAGTCCAGCAACATAGCCATTATGCTAACTGCTGGTTCCCATTGTTTCTTATATTTCTTGTGCCTCTGCAGTGGTTTCTGGTCATCTAATGGATGACCTCCTGCCTCCTGGCTAGACTGAGGAGCAGGAGAGTGAAGTTTGAGCAGAGGGTCTTTGGTGGTCAAAATCCCTGACCGGGGCCACTTGTAGCTCAAATATAGATGGCAGCTGATCGGCTTATCCTGGCTCCTGGCCAGACTGGGGAGCAGTAGTGTGAAGTCTGGGCAGAGAATCTTCAGTGGTCAAAATCAGCTCTAGTGTATTTTTTGTAAATGTGTTGGAGGGCTAATCTTTAGTCAGGTGAAACCTATTTTCATTATTTAATTGATATTGTTTATCTACTTTATCCCCAATTTTTTGTTTCCTCAATGCCTGTAAAATATTCTTGAGTACCTATAAAATAATCCACTCAAGAGTTCTACATTACATAAAGCATTTAAAACTTTGTACAGTAATTTGGCCAAAAAAACTCAACAAATGTTTTTCTTTTGTAATATAGGAGGACATGTTCTGTAATGAAACTAACAAGTAAATGCTATGTGGAAGATAATCTCTAAAACAAAGTTTGTTTAGTGCTACTGGCACCTTGCAGAATTCTTGGAGAAATTATTGAGATAATACATAGCATGTTTAAACAATGGAATCAGGGATCAACTCTGTGGTCAGTTGGAGGAGCCAGCTCATACTTGGCCGATTCCACCGTTGGAATTTTGTTCTCATCCCACAGCTTGAAAACCATGACAGGTATGTGTGTGTGGGTGCCTGAAATCCTGAAAGAAAGGAGAAATGGAGGAGAGAGGACTGCAGTGTGACCACACTCTATGGAGGGGTGCTTTCTCCTTCTCCATCCCTGCCTCTGCATTTCTCTCTGGCAAGTACATACACCCTCTGACAAATTTAAAAAATAAAACAATGGAAGAAAGTTAAAACAAATATTGAGGTTAGCTGAGATATGATAAGATACTCTCTACATCCTTGCCCAGACTATCTTTAATTTAAACTTTTCCCATGGTGCAGGAGTAGAAATTCCTTAGTGAATATTTTTGTTGTTGTTGTTGGTTTGTTTTTATCTAAATGAGGAATTGGGGTAAATTTTTTTGTAAGTCATCACAATATTTAGAAAATGCATGTCCAGAAAATTATGTGTGTGTGTGTGTGCTTAAAAGCATTTATGTGCTTGGTCAAAATGAGATCATGTATGGATTGCTTGCTGCTAAGAGATTTTGTGAAGTGTATTTCTATGATCTATAGAATGCTTTCCTATGTACCAGATTTTTTTTTTTTAAGAGGGTTTCTTTTGCTATAGGGCATGTGCAGTTGCTGAAGACACACAGAGAGACAGAGAAAGTGAGAAACCACCCCCTTGAGGGAGATGGCCATGCCACAATCCCTTCTCTTCCATTCTTCTCTCAGGATTTTGGGCATGTGCATTCACACACACCCGGCGTGAATTTCAAGCCACCGGGTCCAGAACTCAAACCACAGTCGACCATGTGGGAGTCTAGTGCCTTAACTACCACTCCACCTACTGGTCCCCCAGACA